AAGAAGGATTTTAACTCTCTTAGTGTTTTATTTCACTCTTGAATAACTTTTACTAATGGGTTCTTGTTTCTGATTTTCAATCAAAATTTATTTCCTTGTAATTTAAAACCATTGTTTATAAATTACACTGCTATCTTCTACTACAACTCTGAAATTTTTTTGCCCAATCTTCTGTGTGAAGCCCTTCACATACTCGGAGACAGCAAATATCTCTCTGTAGCCATCTCAAATTCCAAGATTTGTATTAAGATAACATGTCAAAAGGAAAGGGTTAAAAGCCAACCCAAACTCTGGCTGAGCTGTTTTGTAGGCATGTAATTTAAATACAATTTTGCAAAGAAAAATGGATCAATTGACATAGATACAACTAGTACTGTATTCAAAATCCTTTAGTCTAGATAACTATTAAATTATGTAAAAAGCCTAGATTTAATTGTTAGATAGACAACAGTAGGCTGAATCCCCATAACATAGAAACTTCAATATTTGCTTGCTTGTTTTCCTGTCATTTAACAGGCACATTTTATTTTTCTTGTTTATTAAATTTGTTTTCTACCCACTGCAAAATGACTCTGGGTAGCTAACAACATATAGTGTATAGTGTGTCAGAGGTGGGACGCTACTGTTTCGGCCTGGTTCTGCCGAGCCAGTAGCTCCAAAGATCAGCTGAGGCTGAACCGGTTCTCTCAAATGATCGGCTGTTGGGTCGACCGCCCACCCAGGCTCCCATACTGACCTTTATTTCCTGCTTTTGAAGCACAGCTGCTTTGCGCGGCACAGCAGATTGCCGCACGTCAGCTGCTGAAGCTACAGGGAACATGCAGGATTGCAGGAGTAGGAAAACCTCTGTGCAGATGTTTGGTATGTGCGCACACGTAAAGTGTGCATGTGTGCAAAGCGTGCCCACCCAGCCACACCCGCCACAACCAATGGCAAACCATTTTGAAACCCACCATTGGTGTGTGTGTATATGTATTAATGCATGCATGTGTGTGCGTGTGTATACACAAGTTATAATTCAAAGATGGGGAGGAACAGAATAGAGTGTAAGAGAATGAGGAGGTGGAAGCTACTATTAGTCGATCAACCACATCCAGTACTCCCCCACTAAGGCTCCAAATCAACTTGCAGAGCCAGGTCTTCAGGCTCTTGAAGAAGATCAGGAGAGTGAGAACCAATCTCACCTCAGGGCAAGATGTTCCAAAGAGCTGGAGGTCCCAGCAGAAAAGGGTCTCCTCCTGGACATCATCAGTGAGAATTCCTTGACTGACAGGATCTGCAGCATGCCGCCTCTGCTGGCCGAGATGAGCCAGCCCTGTTTCATAGGAGTGAGTGGGTTCCTCAAGTAATCTGAATCCATGTCATACAGGACTTTATATAGATAATAACCAACACCTTGAATTGCACCCGAAAGTAAACCAACAATTAGTGAGCTTCTGAACAACAGTGTAATATGGGCCACTGTAGAGGCTCCAAAGACTGCACCGCTGCACTCTGCACCAGTTGAACCTCTGAATGCCCAATGAAGAGCGCGTGGCAAGTTTGAGATGATTGAGCCCAGGACTCATTCCTGATCTAGCACTTGCCACCTGCTCTTTGATTTACACACACACATACTTATATATACTTACCACAAAATAGCAAAATCAAACTTTTTGAAAGAAAAATCATGCTGTTTAGTGGTTCTTTTTTATTTGCATTATAACTTCTAACTATAGACTATGGATAACCCTAAATGTTTTTATAGTGCTAGATTAGAGGACAAAATTACATCTTATTCCTGGAGTATATAAATGAATTTTCTCTTCAGTTAATCACTGAAAAACAATACTTATTGTTGGGGTAAACTTGATTTTACATTTCAGTTTATATTTTAAAAAGTTCAAGCTTGATCATTGGTAATTTCATGTACTGTCCTCTTAGCTTCCTTTGGTTTCCTTTTTCTATGTCTTCATTGACTAAATTCATGCTGTCATTATCAAAACCATCTTTGGTATGAATGTTTTTTAAAACTCAAGAAATGCTAGCAAAGGCTCTCCTTGAATAGCTTGCTATTTTTATTTCTTTTCAAACACCCCTGCCTTCTAAGTCATGTGCTATCCTAGGAGCTAAAGAAGAAAATGCTTCCAAACTTTAAAAGGAAACAGCTGAGTGTTGGCTATTGTCCTAGGAGAATTCACCCGTTAAGTTTCTATTTATATTGTCCTCCTTCTTCAGTTGTAACAGGAAATTTTGAAGGAGAGGGAGACAGCTGATACCAACAAAAACTTGTAATAAAATATACCATGTGTTATATGGTTTCCTTTCCTTTGGAAGAGTCTGTCTGAACAGCAAACTCAGACTGAGATTTGAGGAAGGCATAAAGAATTGAAGTGGGCCAAATTTATATCAGCAAAATAGAGGGTAATCCAAATTAACTGTGACTTTATCCTAGAGAATTTCTAACTACTGATATTCAGTAGTTTCAATAAAGCTTCAATCTGAAGAAATATCATTACTATACTATATGTCAATTCTATAAAAACTTGTCTGCCAACAGAAATTACTAGTGATATTAACTTTTATTTATAATAAATATATATTATTGAAAATCTCCAGAGTCAACTGAAAACTTCTGTAAGGAAAATCCTGAATTTTTCAGTGTTACTAAAATATGAATGGAATGTTGCAACTGATAATGGAATGCTATGAATTCATTTTAAAGTTGTCTTGTATTCATGGAGCAATGATCTAATATGATAAGATTGGGCTGCTATCAAAGTCTATTTTAGTTTAGCAAATTTTCTCTCATAGTAACTGACCAATGCCTCAAGGATGTGTGAAGCAGCAAGCAGAGCATTATTCTGCTCAGTTATTTTGCTGCAGTTGGTATTTGGAGATATGCTGTAGACTTATCTTCCATAAATATATTCAAGCCCCTTTTAAGTTTGTCCAAATTAGTAGCCATAACTACATTTTATGATAAATTCTTTATATTAATCATGTCTTGTGAAGAAGTCATCTTTATTGTCTGTTCTAAATCCCTTTTCAATCATTATTATTGGTCTCAGTACTATGAAAGGGGAACAAATACCTTCTTTGTGCCATATTTATTCACCTGCATTACATTCCCCCTTCAGTTGCCTTTTTATGCTGTAAAATTCATAGACATAGAGAAGATATTTGAACATCCTTGATGATTTCGGTGGCTTATAGTTTGTTAGGAAATCAACAGTTTTACGTTGATGTTCTTTGAGACTTCTAGGATGGATGACATTGTGATTCAGCAATTTATTTCCATGTGGTTGCTTAAATGTTTTAAAAATCTTGTTTTGTTTCCCCAATGTGCTTTAATTATTGAAATTAGTTTCTTTGAGCTGAGAAAATCAATCCAATTTCTGGTGCAAGGAATTCTTTCAATTCCTCTACAGTCTCCATATCCTTTTAGGAATCTAGTTCAGATATATTTCAATACATATTTTTTGCTTGATGCTTTTCAAAAGTTTTGCTTCATTCCTTAAAATTCCTTATTATTTTTATGCCATAGTGTAGGCTCCTTTTTATTTCCATTATTGTTCCATCTATTTTTATCTCTTCTTGTATGCTACTAAAACGTAATGCTGGCCCTTTCCTATGTTCCTTTATTCCTTCCTTTTATTCATTAATATGATTTATTTGGCCACTTAACTTGCAAGAGTAGCCCTGAGTGCTTACATATTGCTAAAAACTAAACAAAAACAAAGGAAAAAATGAAATGTAGAAATACTAAATAACCCAGGCCAATTGTATCATATTCTCATTCAAATCACTTCATTTTTAGACAGGCTCATCCAGGTTCTGGACCAAGGCTTAGAGCAAGGGTCTTCAAACTTTGCAAATTTAAGACTTGTGGACTTCAACTCCCAGAGTTCCTGAGCTAACATGACTAGAAGAGGAATTCTGGAAGTTGAAGTCCACAAATCTTAAAACTGTCAAATTTGAAGACCCCTGCCTTAGAGGAAAAGCTAGGTTTTCAGGCCTTACTAAAGGCCAAAGATGTGACCATCCAAATCACAAAAGGAATGCTATTCCATATGGAATACCATGATAGAGAAAGCCCGCTAGGTCCTGTTAAGTCCTGTTAGGTGACATATAGTACTTTGTAGAAAGAATCTGATGCATGCTCATTGTGCCAGATTTTATGGGATAACCAGAGAAAGTTGGAGATTGACAGTTATGCAAATAGCCCTTTACCCTGAAAGGTTTTATAAATGAAAACCAGCACTTTAAATTGCATCTGGAAGCCTGGCTACATTTGATAGTGAAAGACCATCACCAAAACCTACTCTAGCTGGACCTTTGCTGGATTCTCCTGACCAAAACCATTGCTTGCTGTATGGGGAAGATCCTAGATATTTATTTTAAAATATTATAATAGTTATTTTATATAGTTCCTGTTTTAGGAAGATTGTTATTCTAAACAGGGTATAAATTGCAATAAATATACACGTATTTATATTCGTATCTTCCTGTTTTATATTTATGTATTCTAATTATTTTTACTTTATTTTTATGTCTGCATTGCCTGAATCATAAATTGCCTTGAATGTTTTTTCTTCAAATATGTGGCAGATGTTTAGTAACTATACATAGTTGTCATGATATGGGGCAAAAAAATGTATATATTGATTAAAAATTGCCCTTTTTACAAAAGCCAAATGGTTGCTGTCGTCTTATGTTTTCTTTAGGCTGGTGCTTTCCAGATATCTGGGCTTACAAGATTGTATGGTCAAGTGTCAGCACTAAAATCCCACAAGTGTATATAGCATCCATTTGGGGAGAGAGCTTAACATATCAGGAGGAAATTTTTAGTTACACTGGCAAACTATTAAAGTGCTGATATAAAATTAATCATTATATTTAGTCCACCTTCTATAGTTATTGTGCAGTTCCATCCCAAAGAGAGCAACTGTATGTTCCTCTTCTAAAGAGCATCTCATAGTTTATTATCCATTACCAAGAATGGAATATTCTGCAGTTGATTGAAAGATAGAAACAAACAAATCTTTATTTTTTCATATAGCAACATTCTCTAATCTGATGTCCCATTCAAAATAACCAGTAGTAAAAACATTATGAGCCATCACATATGTACACTATTTTCCCGTTTGACTTTTTAAAACCAAATAATAATTAGTGCATCCTGCACAAATATTGATATTTTAATTTAAATGTACCAGATACAACAAAAAGAAGAAACGATTAAAAAAATAAAATTTGAAATTGATGCAGAGGTGTTTAATGCAGTGGTTTTGTTATTATAATGGGCAGTCCCTTTAATGTGGCTTGTGGTAGATTCATCTCCTACAGAATTTTAAGGGGGAAATTGTATGAGGAAATTTCTGCCGAATCAGTTTTTTACTCATCTGAAGAATCTGGAAAGGAAGAACAAAATAATTGAATAACTTCTTAGTATTTTTTTAAACCGTTAACTGTGTGTACCTAATCATGATACAGTTAGTTATATATTTACATTCAATGAAGTCAAGATTGTTTCCAATAATAATAAAATACTGCAAATGCTATTATTTATAGTTGCAACAATACAGAACTTTGTGGAACTCAGTCTTTTGAAAGAGTCCAGTTTTGCATCTCTTCTGCTTCAAAAAGGAATGCAGTTTTGAATTTCAAAAATAGTTATTAGATCAATTAGAAGCTCAATTAGTATAATCAATTTGTGTCTTTCCATTTAATTTTTCTCAGGAATTGCTCAAACATATTAATTAACATCTTATGAGAATAGTATACCACACTTATGTTATCTGTAATATTGTAATTATTGATTGATATGCGTGTTTGTGTATGTGTGCCATGCTGCCCTATTACTAGTACTGCACAATCATTTACTGTGCAGATGTTTATGAAAATGCAAAAAAAAGGCAAAGCAAAATATATCTGTTAAGGAATCCTCATAATCTCTGTGTCATTCTGTCTGTTTACAGCTCAGTTGCATTTTTATTCCTCACTCTTCCTAATTTTGTCAGTCACCATCAGTTTTGCAACATCCTAAAACTTCCATGACATTACTATTTTTTTTCATTTCCCCCCTTCTCATAGCTATTTTGAGACTTGCTAATGTTAAAATATTTAGCATCATCTTCCACACCTACTTGTGAAAGTGTTAAAATATGCCAGAAATTTTCCTAATCATACTATACAATGATTCAAATAAGAAATGTTGAAAAAGACTCACTTTAAAGATTCTAGCTTCAGCCAGACATGATATGCTTGACAAAAGCTGAGGAAAATGAAAACAGGAATTTAGAAGTAATACAGTTAATCTCTAGATTATCAGAAAGGGTTGTTTTATATTAAAAATATTCTGTAGATTTAGTTAAGTGTTATAGTCAGTTCAGAGCCTTCAAAGTTCAGTTCACCTAATCTAGATCATTAAGTATAATAAATTAAAAAAGGATTTGAAAAGTAGTTCCAGATGGTCTGAACAAGTAAGCTTCTAAAAAGTGTATTTTCTTACATTAATTAACATAAATTGATAATTTATACATTTCTATCTATTTAAATGTGACAGTGGCAAGGAGCTTGGAAATCAGTCTTCCTCCTCAGCTGACCTGTGAAACTTTATTTATTTAATTATTTATTTTGATTTGTCAATGGCTTACAAGATAATAGGTGTAAGTATAAACATACTTATGAATACATGGATACATATAACAAAAATAAAAGAAACAATAGGACAGGGACGGTAGGCACGTTGATGCACTTATGCACGTCCCCCTACAGACCTCTTAGGAAAGGGGTGAGGTCAATAGTAGACAGTCTAAAGTTTTTGGGGTTTTGCCTGCCACTTCGCTGGGGGGATGGGGAACAAAAGAAGTACCCCCAACTCCCATTCCTGGTATGTTCCTAGAGACTCCCTCCTTCCAGGGAAGAAAAGAGCTCACCCATCAAACACCAGCATCTCTCAGCCATCTATAACTTTACTAGCGGGCATCTAAGCCCCTCCTTCCCTCGCCACCTGCTGCAGAAATTTCAGATTTCAGCCTTTGTTTCAAAGCAGCCAATCATCTCTTATCTGTCAGGCCTTGCTACCAGCTGATTTGATACAGGGGCCAGAGAGATGGGAAAGAGGACAGGAAAACATTTCTCCCATCTTCCCTTGTGCCATGCAACCTACCAGGTTTTTGAGAGTGTAGCTGAAAACCTTAATAAATGCTGAAGTGAATTTCATTCTTGGTCATGTGGGTCCCAGCATTCTATAAATTATCCCATTTAAATTACTTTGTTTTAATAATTATTACCTTTCCAGTTTTTCCCAGTTGAAAGTCTGATACAAGATTTTTAACATACACAGACCTCAGATAAATGGGTTTTTTTTTCTACATTTCTTTCTGTGTTGTATGCTGCCCAGAATAGGTGGATTGATCTGAACTGCAGTAATTGTGAAGAAATTTTGTAGATACCAATGGCAATAGCACTTACATATTGCTTTATAGTGGTTTACAGCCCATTCTAAGTGGTTTACAGAGTCAGTATATAGCCCCCAACAATATGGGTCCTCGTTTTACTGATCTTGGAAGGATGGAAGGCTTGAGCTGGTCAGGATCGAACCGCTGGCAGAGTTAGCCTGCAATACTGCATTCTAACTACCATGCCACCATTGCCCTTAGATAGCCATTGATGTCTCTTCCACCCCCAATTCTGCCCTTTGATCACCAAAATGATGCCCGCTGTAAAGACAGTGCAGGTAAGTAAGTGAATAGGAATTTAAGAATTATTTTTATAGGAAGTTAAATGGCATTCAAATTCTCAGACCATTCTAATTGTACCACTAGTAGGGGTAGTCCTTACGTTCCAAATAGAAAACAGTCAAATGGAGTGGAAAGCCTATACAGTCATATTCATAGAAAGCTAGATGATTGAAATTCCAATCTTTATTCTAGCAGTAACTTCAGCAACCCAAACATCTCAATATTGCTCCAGTTCTATTTCTTCAGGGAGCCGCTGTTTATTCGTGGCTGATTTGTACTCAGACTTTTAGGAAATAAAATAGCAGTAGAAACTTTCCAGCGTTAGGCAATTTTAGCAACAGCTCCAGCAATAAACAGCAAATGCAAAGGATCTTTTTTAATATGGTTTTTAAAAGTGGGTTTTGTCCACTTAACAATACCTTCATAGTTGATGCAGCCATTGGCATCTTCTTGTCCAGCCATCAATTGTTCTACTTCACTCTCTGTCATCTTCTCGCCTATAAAATAGAAATCAATTTAATTGTTTAGTTAGTTTAATTTTGCTTCAGTACTTCTCTCTGAATGCAGGAGAAATAGAAACTACTTAAATCATACATCTGGTTGTTAATATTAAATAAGATATAATTCTGTCTTTCTTTACCCGACATTCTCCAAATCTATTTGGATTGTAAATCACAGAATCTCTAGCTAACATGGACAAAAGAATTCTGAAAAGCACCAAGTCAGGGACAACTGATATAGACAGATGCTTAGCACAAAAGAAGCCTCCAGTTATACAATGGCATCCTGTGATCAGTAGCTCCTGATGCAGTTGTTTATGCAACAATAATCCCAGAAATATCTGTAGTCACAAAAGAATTGCCAAATGAGAGAATGAATTCTTGCAAGAAATGAATGTTCCACTTGTTTTATATATGAATGGGAGTTGTGACAATGATGAAGAAAATTAGAAAACCGCGCAATACAGAAATGCCTTCCAGCTCCATATGGGCTGCTCTGCTTCCACAATCATCCACATTCAGAGAATGATACCTGAGAAGTTAAGTTTACTCCGAGATTTTTAAGACCAGGGCTATTTCTTTAGTATCAAGTATAATTGATATTCACTTTCACATTTGGGCCTCAATATAGGCATTGATTTTGCACAATCAGCTGGGGAAAAAATCTCCTGAAATGGCAGCTCCATAAATCACAACATATTATTACTATAAAGATATACGCACAGTACTTGTGGAAGCATCACAAAAAGATAGCCTGCTTTAAATTCAAATCCATGTCTGAATGAATCAAAGCAGTGTGCATACATGCTGGAGTATATATGTATGAACACATGGATGATTTGAAAGACAGCAGACAGGTTGGCTAAAGGTAATTATTCTGGAAGGTCAAACCTTGCTAAACATAATTCTTGTCACAAATTCTACAGATACTCTACTCCCTTCAATATGCTACAGATTAAATTCCTTCCTATACCTAAAGTGGCAAGGACATGACGCAGTTCAGCTCCCATGACAGTGCCATTTCCTTCCTTGTCAAAAACACGCAATCCTTCCACAAAGTCCTCAAAAGTCCCTTGGTCCTTGGATCGGGCAATGTGTTGTAACATTGGGAGAAAAGTCTCAAAATCCAGCATCTTTGTGTTCATTTCTGACAAGAAAGAATATGCTGATGATGACAAATACCAAAAGTAACAATTCTGATACAGACAATTCCAATAATCCTCTTAGCCTTCCCCACCCCACCCCACCCCACCCCCCCTCCCTCCCTCCCTCCCTCCCTCTCTCTCTCTCTCTCTCTCTCTCTCTCTCTCTCTCTCTCTCACACACACACACACACACACACACACACACACACACACACACAAACACTTTCCCTTGTGTTTAGATACAGTTTCCCCATTTCATCAGTGTATCTTCCTGTAACAACAAATCTGGAAACTGATTCAAGCAGATCTGAACTTGGAAAGGATAGATTACAGCTCAGAAGAATTAAGTCTTGCAATTGCTTCTAGATCAGTTATTGAACATGCAGATGTATAGTTTTGTGGAAGGCAGGAAACTTCTGAAGTAGGATATGAAAGGGCCTGAATCTCCCCTGTATATATGTACCTTCTGTCTTTGGTTTCCCTAGCACTTTCAAGACTTCTGCATTGGTTGGGTTCTGTCCCAGGGCTCGCATGACGTCTCCACACTGGCTGTATGTGATTTTCATTTCTCCAGTTGGGGTCCTGTCAAAGAGCATGAATGCTTCTTTGAACTCTGGGCAAAAAAGAGAATTCCATTAGCTCTTTGCAATTAGCAGAAACTTTTGTAGAAATCCTTCCTAACCTACATGTGAAATAGTTAAAAAAACAGAAATGGAGGCCTATTTTTATCTATATGTGGGAGTTTTGGAGAGGTTATATTTATCTGATCTCAAAAGAAAGCACAATGGCTAAACCAGATAGCAAACAAAAATATTATAATTTGTCTCTTTACATGTGAGAAATTGCAAAGCAGAAAATGATCTGAGCTGTTGTTCTATGGAGATTGGAATGGGACAATTGGCTTCAGCTGCCTGGCCATGCCCATTTCACCCCAGGCCCTCCACCACAGCCAACTCATCAGGAGTGTGCATCATTAGCTAATGCCTTCCAGATGTTCCACGCTGTTGCAGGGTATCCCTTGGCTGAATGCTGCAGATTCGTGGCAAGCCAGTGAGCGGGCAAGCAGAGATTCGTGGTGCTTCTGAAAGGGAGAGATTGGCTGATAATAGAGTACTTCCAAGCACATCCAGAAATCAGGAATTTGTTTCCTTTCCTCTGCCAAACAAACAAAAAAAATCCCTGCCTGGCCCAACTCTGCACCCAGCTCCCCTGGGATGCTGCATCATTGTGGTGGGTGTAGAACGGGGCAACAGGACTTGTGGACTTCTTCCAACCTTCCTCCTCTTCTTCCAACCTTCCTCCTCCCATCACTCAACGAGAACTTCAGTGGAGTCCCCTCAATTAATTTCCCCTCCCTCATTTTCCCCACCCCATTACTAGCTGGAGGGAGTCGGCTGTGGCTGAGGTGGAGCTGGGCGGCTAGCTAAGGTAGATTCAGGCAGGGCCTGATTAGCTGTGATGTTGTGACTTTTTTTTCCCTTCACCATGTCAGAGTTTTAGCATAGATCAAACCCAAAAAATTTTGAGCAATGTCAAATTCTGGAACTAATTCACCAAGATATAAGGAAACTAGTCATGATCTGTGATTGGTAATTTTATAAAAGATAGCAAGCTTCCAATCCCTAATTTTTAACAATAGCATTACAGTAGCGGGAAATTTTTTTTAGTTTGGCAAAGGAAAGGAGAAACAATTGGAGTACAGCTACTTTCAGCCAACTCCTCCTCCCAAGTTCCATTTAGAAACTGAAAACAAATTCCTGATTTCTGGATATGCTTGGAAAGACTCTATTATTTCAGAAGCACCACGAATCTCCATTTGCTCACCTGCTGCCTTGCCATGAAACTGCAGTGTTCAGCCAAGGGGCTCCTTGCAACACCGTGGAATGTCTGGAAGGGAGCAGCTTGCAGGATTTGGTTTGCTTTCTCCCATTCTGTCCACTATGTCCATACATCCCCCTTCACTCTCTATACTCACAATGCTCCCAGCCCAGATGGTAGCACCAGTGGAGATGGCAGTAGAAGCTGTGATTATGTAGTGCCCAGCGACAGCCAAGGCTGAAAGCCAAGTCTTCCAGGGCAGCTGTGGACCAATGTCTGAGCTTTATGCATAGTTCTCACTTTTCCTGATCAGAATAGAGGTGACAGAGGAGTTGGCTGCTGCCCTAACCCTGCCCATAGTGTTGTTGGTTGCTACCTTCCTGTCACTTGCAGCTTGCTCTGAGCTCGCACTTTGTTGCCAATTCACTCCCACTTGCACACACATAAAGTGCAATGGTTGGAAAGCAGCACTTCTTGCCAGGGGGAAACCACACATTTTCCCCACCCACCCACTCATATCACCTTGAGTTTCCATTTCGGGAAGCTGGGATGCACAGCTAATTGGATTGGGACAAGTATCCCTTAGAAAATTGCTTGGAACAAGGGGGCAGGGGAGAAGCAACAGGGACTGGTGGGGGGGGGGGGGAGTAGGACCAGGCGAAGGGTCAAGAGAGGATGATTTCCCATGGTGGGTTGGCTATGGTGGGAGGGCTCAAGGTGATGCAAGTGTGGGCAGGTGGTCATTGGACAACTGTTCTAGATCCTATAGACAAATACTTGGAAGTTCAACATTTCAAAACTCTTGCATAATCAAGGGAAGGAAAACAAACATTTAAACATTTTAGCATAAAAATAAATGATGTTTTGGGATAAGTTGTAAAAATAAAGTTGTAATATAAAAGATGTGCCAGGGATGTTATTTGTCCAACATATTAATTTGGAATAGATTACAGGAAAAGGTTAGAAAGCTGAATGACTTTGGGCCAATCACTTCCTCTCAACTCTAGGAAGAAGTCAGTGGCAAACTACTTCTGAAAAAGCTTGCCAAGAAAACTCCAGGGACTTATCCACACAGTCTTCAAGAATTGAAAGCAATTGAACAGAAGAAAAAAAAGCTTTTAGTTGAACTTCAAAATACAATTTCTAATACTAAAATCAGTATAGTCTACTTGCTTCTGAAGTGACATTTAAGCAAAAACAGGAAGCCAGTGCATTGTAGAGCTTTATGTTGAATGGATAAGAATCATGGATTCCAATAATTTTTCTATTTCTATATTATTGCACTATTATTACATTTAAAGGAGTCATATTTATTGGTTTTTTGGTTATGAAGTCATCTTAAATCTGTTTCCGCTTAGATAATTCCAAAATACACTATACTATGTTTTGAATCTACTGTTTTATTTAAAGTTGCGGGAAGCTTACATTATTTTGTGAGCTCATCTGAAAAGAAAAAAAGTAACTGAACTGATATCCACTGATATCATTTAATAGCATATTCAATGTAGATTTAGAAGTCCACTAAATTTAGTGGGAATGATTAACTTAAGTCCCATTGATTTCAACTAGTATACTTATAGTATAACAATCTGGATCCTATAAACTGGCTACAACTGAAATGTTCAGTTGTTTAGTTTCAGCCCAGAACATTACCTTCAGGGATGGTTATTTCTGGGAAAATCAGAATTATGTTATTTTTGTATGTGATAGTTTTTAGCTTCTTAACTTGCTGCATTATCCTCTCTTTATCCTTTAATTCTGCAAGCTGAATAAGAACAGTCCTGCTGCATTGATTTGCATTTGATTTCTCCCTTTTCTGTGCTAGTCGATAGGCTTTTTCTATCACAACGGAAGGGCTTCCTAGTTTCAGAATATGTGGCAACCATTTTTCTATGAAGGCTGCCAAATTGTGGCCCTCTTCTTTCTCAGGCAAGCCATAGATCCTGAGAGTACGAAGTTGCATCGATTTCTTGATCTGTTTCATGTGGCAACTGAGGTGTTTATTTTGTCTAGCTGAGCCATCCAAATCCTGTCTGCATGCTTGCTCATGCTCAATTATAGAGCTAGTTGTCGCAATTGACCGGGCCAGGCTGTGAATTTGCTCTTCCAGCATATCCATCCGTGAATTCAAGGCTGAAATTTTACCATCAAAATCCTTCACTACCTCTGAGGCATGGTCTACTTTTTTCTGGATTTCCAACATAACCTTTTTCATCTCTACCACTGAAATATTGCAACCTCAGACAAGTGGAAGCCCAAGAATCTTAAGGTTCACAGAAATCTTTGGGCCACAGTTATAGTTGGGTTGGTTTGTTATTAGGTCATCGGTGGCATCACAATGGCTAATAATATATCAAAGGATTTATAAACTTTATTGAACTTCAGGATTGAACTTCAGACCTGCCATGGCAGTTTTTCTTTAGCCAATAATTCCCATAATGTGTAGATAACATTATGTCTTTTGCCATACTATTAACCAAAACCTAATTCAACATATCCAACCTTAGGTTATGCCGTAATGTGTCTCTTCCTCTGAAAGAAGGGGGAATTACTAGTTCTCAAAAATATAGGTTGAAACTATTGAAACATTATAAAGTTTCTATATAGAGATAACATAGCTGCTCATGTAATAGCTTTTTATATTTATATTTATTTATAAAGGCTATTTATATTTTCATCTGTCTTCATGCAAAAAAAGGATGGCAACCTACCAAAAACATAACCGTATAAGACAGATTAGAAATACAAATTAACCTAAGCAAGAAAATGAAGAAAGAACATATGTCCATTCTAAAGAAGCTCAAACAACCAGGACCTGGTGTGTTACATCCCAGAGTTCTGAAGAAGCTGGCACACATGATCTCAGAACCACTGAACCATATATTTCATAGAACCTGGGGAACTATCGGAGAACTGGAAAAGAGTCTATGTGGTTCTCATCTTCAAACAAGCAATAGATCTGTGAACACCTAGAAGCAAGTAAAATTAGAACCCAACATATGTGTCAAAAACAGATTGTGCCAAACAAATCTTATTTCCTTCTTTGACAAAGTGACTAAATTAGTAGACCAGCATAATGAAGCGGACATTATATACTTTGATTTCAGTAAGGCATTTGAAAAGTAGACTAGAACCTAGTTTTTGATAAGCTAAAAAAATGTGGGAGGAAAGCATCACTACTAGATGGATTTGTAACTGGCTGATAAACCATACTCAACATGTAGTCCTTAATAGAATTTCAACTACATGGAGAGAATAAGCAATGGGGTAAAATTCCATATTAGACCCAGTACTCTGCAACATCTTCATAAATGATTTAGATGAGGGAATAGAAGGGGAAACTCATCAAACTTGCAGATGACATTAAACTCGCAGGAATAGCCAACACCCAGAAGATAAGCTCAAAACCCAGATGGATCTTGTCAGACTTGAACACTGCGCCCCATCTAACAAATGAAATTTGGTATAGAAAAAAGTAATTTAGGCAAGAAACGCCAAATATATAATATAAATAAATTAGGTGAAACTTGGCTCAATAGCACTAGCTGTGAGAGGGATTTTGGACCTAACGGACAATCACTTAAATATGAGTCAGCAGTGTGCAGCAACAACTAAAAAAGCCAATGGAATATAGGCTGCATTACCAGAGGGATAGAATCAACATCATATGCAGTACTAGTACTGCTTTATAAACCTTATTATGACCACACTTAGAGTACTGCATCCAGTTTTGGTCACCATATTATTAAAAAAATGACTCCCGGTTGACGTTGCAGTGGCAATAGCTGGAAAATAGCAGAGCCCTACTGGACTCTGTGAAATGCACCCAGCAACTGCTTGCTGGGAGACCCTATGGGGCTCAGCCACCCTGGAAGGAGAAGAAGGAGAAGCGCTTCGTCGAATGTGAGGAAATTGCAATTTCCTCACTGGTCCAAGAACGCTCTCCCGAACAGCAGCAGGGACGATGGCCATTTTGGTCTGTCACAAGCTGGGACAACCGGGACACTAAGATCTTGTAATGGAGTGAGGACGTAATGTGTAATGTGTGGATAAAGCAGTGAAACTGGGTGAGATAACTTCTAACCCTTACACCAAAGATTTAACTCAAGCTAAAAAACATAAAAAATAACCTCCAAATAGTAAGAAAGTGGCAATTGGATTAATGGAGAAGGATTAAAGACTAAAAATTGAAGAGAAAGATTAAAGTTAAAGATTCAGATGCAAAAGAAATATTCAAGGATGTTTCCTTGAATACATTGTGAAAAGTGACTTTTGGGAGAAATTGCTTTTCTAAACTTTATTTTTAACTCCCCCGAATGGATGACAGTCAGTTGTTTTGACTCTTATACTTTGTTAAAGTTGGAACTGGGAGCAGGAGAGCTCTACTAGAGGAAGAAGATTACTGGAATGTGAGACATGCTAAAAGGATTAAAAACAAATAACATCTAGAAACAATTTGACCTTGATGTTATCATTGCAGACAATTTGGAGACTTGGAAATATTTACCAAGCTGTCTGAAGATGTTTGAGGCAAATTGAACTATAAAAACTAAAACTTTATTGACCTGCTCATTGAAAAGAAAAAAAAATAAGAAAAGCAAATAAAACTTCAAAATTTGGACAATTAGAAAAGAGTAAACTAGAAATACAAAGACTGTAAAGTAAAAACTATAGTTTCTAAGGACTAGAAGCCCAGAGGTTTTGGAGGAATAATTTTGGGATTGATAAATTTTATTAACGATTTACTCTTTAGGAGATTTTAGATGTTGGGATACTGGAATATTAAAGATACATTGAGTAATTTTCCATATATTAATGTGGTTCAAAGTGATTCAATAGGAAGCAATAGAGTTCTATGAAGAAATGCTAATGATGGTTACAAGTTTTTTTGAAAGTATGACAAAGATGTATAAGGAGATGAGGGGATCGTTTAAGTGAGTGTAGAAGACCCTCAACAAATGTTGGGAAAAGAGGAACAAAATATTCAGGTGATGGATGAGAAATCAGAAGGAGTGGGGAAGGAAACAAATCAAAATAAGCTTCAAAAAAAAAAAACAGTGAAAAGACAATAACAATAAATACTAAGAATCGAATAGACAATCCCCTAAAAGTTTACAATAGTATAGAAGGAAAAAAGGAGTACTTCCCCAAAATAATGGGAGGTTTATGGATGGGTATCCAAATGATGCAGCAGAAGGAGATACGGGGAAAGAACACTCAGTCCATGTAGAAATGTTAGAAAGAAATATAGGATCAGAGGTGGAATTCAGCAGGTTCTGACCAGTTCTGGAGAACCGGTAGCGGAAATTTTGAGTAGTTTGGAGAACCGGCAAATACCACCTCTGACTGGAGATTTTACAGTACTCTTCCCCTGCCACACCCACCAAGCCACATCCACAGAACTGGTAGTAAAAAAATGTGAATCCCACCACTGTATAAGATCCTAAGAGAGAAATATAAAATCATCATCAAAAAATCAATAAACGATGGAATTCTAAAAAGACCAAGAGATGAGGGATAGAGACATAAGATTTTTAATACTATGATTGTATTAACAACTAATGGATAAACTTGGAAAATAGCAATACACATGTAGATACATAATGGAATTTATTATAACCATAAATACAGCAGGTTAGGAGGAGGAAGACTCCGATTAAGCATACCTAAATGTACTATCATGATTAACAATGGGCAAAAATATATTGGATCTCATCGTTTTTAGGATTACAAATTCAGGGGACTCAGAGATATAATCTTAAGACTGATTGAGTTGTATTAATAAATGGCTTTATTGGTGTTATAGAAAATTGAGATTTTGCAAACATGATAGATTTTGAGTAATATTTTAAATACTAAAATATTGATGGCTTAACAAGGGTCAATAAACACATTGTATGAAGATGTAATTGATGTTTAAATATAGTATTATAAAGAGAGAATAGTATTGCTTAAAGATAAAGAGGTGAATATTGAAGAACCTCAACGAGGGGGGGGGGAGGTACAAATTGGGAAAACAGTATATATAGAGATATACAAAAATATATTATAATTATAATGAGTATATTAAGGTTAGAAGTTGGAAGATAAAAACTGTGTATAAGTAATTGTATTATTATTGCTGTTAGCACTGTGTAAAAATATATTGACCCAGTCATTACACTTTCCACAAATTATGTTGGTTGTTAAAGAAAAACTGTAAATAAAACATATACCAAAAAAATAAAATAAAACCCAAGATGTTGAGACTCTGGAAAGAGTGCAGAAAAGAACAATAGAGATAATTATGAGGCTGGAGCTAAAACATAGGAAGGATGGTTGCAGGAATTGGGTTTGACTCTTGTCTAATTTAAGGAGGGACTAGGGGGTGATATGATAGCAGTGTTTCAATAGTTGAAGGGCTGCCACAAAGAAAGGGGGGGGGGGTCAACCTATTTTCCAAAGCACCAGAAGGCAAAACAAGAAGCAAATTAATCAAGGAGAGAAGCAACCTAGAATTGAACTGGCACTCTTCAGTCTCAAGAGACTATGGTATCGTACTATGAAACCACTAACTGCCACTTCCTGTGTTCTTTCAATGTTGAATGCAAAGCTGGAGTGTCCTCTCCAGAGCACAAGGCCTGAGTAATTTCATATGGAGGATAAACTGTTACCCAAGCAGCAGATCTCTCCTCTCAATCACTGAAATAGTCTAATGGAACGGCAGAGCCGATACAATTGGTACAATCAGGACTGTGATCGTACACAGTCATGAACTGCTTCCGGGACTCTGGCTCCAGATTTTGCCTTGAGGTTGATTCCTGAAGCCTTTTCCAATAATAGATATAGCACAAGGCAGTGGAAGTTTGAAATCAGAGTTTCCCTTCTCCTAGAAGATGGTTCTACCATTTTATCTGCCACTGGGGCACAGAGCCCTCGTCCGCCTTCAAAACTGTTGACCATCTTCTCCTGTAACCCTGGAATGGGGGCCCTTATGAGGTGTACCAGCCGTGCAACCTAGAACTAAGGAGAAATTTTCTAACTATGAGAACAATTAACCAGTGGTACAGCTTTCCTTTCCGTCACAGGAGGCTTTCAAGAATGAGGGTCTCCTGCATGAGCAGAAGATTGGACTAGAAGACATCCAAGATCCCTTCCAACTCTGTTATTCTGGTTTGGACTTTGATTTTTTTTCAATCATGCTATATTATAATGTGACATATGCAAAACAAGCCATTCTGATTTGTTTATAAAACCATCATTAAATATCTTAGTTAATAGGTATGAATGCAACAAATATATTTGATCTGATACCAACATAGTAACTTTTATCATATCCTACTGAACTTAATGGCTTTAATAGTTTATGGTTTAGTGTATTTTGTGAACTTAACGAATGGCAATTTATTCACGATAACATGGAAAAAAAGTAGCATACATATGAATGCGATGGTTTTAAAATAAACCATTACTTACCTTCAATCTGATCAGCACTGAATTCAATCTAAGGAGAGAAGAGCATAACATTATTTGCTATTCCCCTTTTACACTTTGATTCAAATTGAGTCAATCCATCTCTTAGCATGTACTGTATATTAAGGTTAGAAATAAATGCACCATTCGAAAACTGAAAGATCAAATTAGAGACAGACCATTATGAAGAAAATCTACAAGATCAGTAAGAGTCGACACTGACATAATAGTACATAATTAGTCAAATTATTTGAATAATTTGAAGTGTCTACAGGCCTTTTAGTACATCTACAAACAAGACTACAGTTAGTCTTCAAATCATGACCATAATGGATTTCAGCATTTCACAAGTCATTATAGCTGTAAGTCGAGACACTATATGACTGGGCATTTTATGACCACTTTTACAACAGTCGTGAAGTCATTCAGTCAGGTCGTTAAGTGAATCCAGCATATCCAATGGTTTCTTTCCCATGTTCTGCTGGAAAATGACAAAAAAAAATATCGCAAATTGCAGTCACATGATAGCAGAAAACTGCCACCATGCTTAAATATGAGTTAGTTGCCAAGTATCCCAAATGTGACCGTAGGGGGAGGGGCAGCAATTGTAACCTTGAGAATAGGTCATACATAGCTTTTGTAAAGTCTGTCATAATTTTGAATAATTGTTAAGCAACTAGTTATAAGTCAAGGTTTACCGTAGATAATTTCATTTACTCATTTTTTAAGTCTGGTCATACATTCTAGAGAGGAGAAGTCAATAAGAAACTATACTTTTATATTTGGTGCATTTCTCAGGTTGGATTCTCTAGATAGTTTCACATGTTTATATCATTTAGATCTACATATTGCTGGAATCTAATGAGCTATGATTTTTCAATAAACCATATTTTAGCAATCTAAGTTTTGGAATGATGGGTGAATTCAATTGTACGTGTCAAGCTAAGCTGTATACAGAATTGCATGAAATTGCAATGGCATAAAAATATATTGATGTTAGATATTCCAGCCAAACACATGTATTCCTTCAAATTGAAATGAAAACCTACCCTTTCTTTCCTAGCTTCATTTCTTGTTGTTCAAGAATCTGTCTGAACCACTCCCCCTTCCCTCTGTTGTCTCTTTTACTCTGAAACTTTGCTTGTAATACTTGTCAGGAAACAGAGCTTATTTGCTGCTTTTTTTAAGTATCACAAAGTGATGCTAAACATAATTCTTAATCAGAAATGTTTTTGTAATATGAAATATTTATCTGCTCATAAAGAGAGGCTATAGTTTTAAAATTCTTGATAGGGTTCTTATAGTTAGGGTAGCATTACTAGGTTCCTAGTTGTTTTTCATAATCTAGCCATGAAAGCATACAGACACTCACAACCCTGTACAGTATGTATGTGGCAGCTCACATCTTCCTGTGTCTTCTAGCTCATATCTTCCAAATGTGATAAGGCCCAATCAGACATTCTTAAAGCTTGAGCACTCAGCCTCTATGTCTCATTTCAGCTCCAATCCCATCCCATTTAAACAAAATGCACTGGCTTTTAACTCAAAATGCACTGGTTTTATGTAGATATTAACACACCCATTACAAGTATCTGCAAGAGCTCTGTGCAAGGTGCATAAAACTGTACTCATGTTACCTTGTCTAAAAGCCAGTTCATGTACGTACAAATTTTACATATGAAGACTTTTTTTTTCAGATGACATGAAAAAACATCAGAAAAAAAATGTAATAAGGTTGATTGAATTGAGGTGAGACATTCCCCTCCCAGGCTGATTTGGCTTAATTATGCACTATTAAGAATACACTGTACTAACATTTGAAGAAACATAATCTAAATGATTATTATGTAAAAAATGTTTTTAGAATTTTTGTAGAAGCTATTTTTTTCTACAAAATCATCCATTTTATAATTATTTTGTAGAAGGTTAAATCTCGAGAGAGAGGCAAAATAGACAATGACAATTAAGCTCAGTATGGAAATATCCATCAACTGAGAAGATAAAAATTCAGAAGAAGGAATATTTTGCCTTGCAAGAAATAGTGGTTAGTATAATGAAAATCAAGACAAAAAAGTTCCATCTTCTATAGTATCATTTATTCTCTGCTGCCAATGATCATGTGTGAGTACTAACACCCAATTTTGTAAGAAATCATAAGGTTTTCGAAAACACCCAAAAGACGGGCAAGTTGTGGACCTCACAGATAGCTCAATAAGAGCTCAACAGAATGCTGGTTTGGGGTGAAAGATGGAAAACTAGATTCAGAGCAGATATAGACTGGAGTGTAGTATCCTGAAAGAGAATTTGGTTGACTGAATGGAAGAATGAAAAGGAGCACTCTGCCATTGCAAGTTTTTTTCTTGCAGTCCCACTATTAAAACATATTCCTATTTTCTGATATCTCCTGGCAGCTTCCACTTCTTCATTTATTGTTCAGGTTCTCCACACTGACCTCATCCTGAACTCAAGGAAAATCTAATCAGGTTGTCACTGTGAGTGGAGAAATATGTAGAAGTATCTCAGTTTCATGTTTGTTCCTGTACATTTCTACATCAGTTTTAAAAAGTCCTATTCATTTTGATGAACATTTCTCATCTTTGTATGTTCCTTTCTTAGGATATACTTTTACGCAAATTGTTTTCTTTCGTATTATTTGTAAGATTATTTCCTTCAGTTATTCCAGTTATGTTTTTTTTTAATTTATACCTGCAATGTAAATTAGGCTGTGAAATAGCAACTGGTTCAAAAGCACCCAGTCCTTATCCATCAGGCAGTTTTGGTGCCTTTGTTTGCACACTTTGCAAGCAATATGTGCAAACCCTAAAGGACACTCTTTGATTTCCACATGAGAGGAATATTCCAAAAAGTGAAGATTTCAGTAATTCTGGCTTAATTATAGATTAGGGTTGATTGGCCAAATTTTCCAAAAATGTAATTAAATTCATAGCAAGCCCTAACCATAGGAGCCAAGGTACATTAGGAACAATAGACTGAATTCACATAGTAATATACTGTATATATTTATAAAAACCCACAATGTAGCTTAGGGTAGAAAGTCATCCAAGCCAATTTATTATGATTTACCAAGTTTATGTATCAGTGTGTTTGTGCTTATATATATTTTTTACAGTAGCATTAGTCTTCTTTACAAAGACAAGGTTCAAGCCTTTTCCATTCTGTTCTGAAGCTATTAATAATTCAACTGCAAGAGCTGTCTTACAAGAATGTGTCACTATCAAAGGAGAGGAATGCAAAAAGTTTTTCCCTTGCCTGCCTGATAACTTGAGAGACCAAGTTTGAGTGCCTGTGGAAAGCAAATGATAACAAGAAACACATGACCTACTGCATGTGTTAGATAGTTCAGTGTGTTTCACTATTAAGAGTAGCTTCACTGACACATTAAGAGGAAATGTAATGTACCTCTAAATACCAAATATCATGGTCTAAAAAAGGAAAACAAGTTGACACATTCCTCATAAGCTTTTTCTGTTATTTGATCATTTTTGGAATCTAGATCCAGAACTACATGGACTCTTTAGGATAATCCAGGATAATGCATCTCTCCTTTTCTATATTCATTATTTTAATGCCAAAGATAGAAGGGTGAAAGATTGGCTCATTATGTAGTGATTTATTAGATTAATGGTGTACTTGGGTAGGGTAGAGAAATGGGCTGAAAATAACAAAACTTTAAATTTTAAATGTCATTTCATTTTAAAATGAAATTTAATAGATACAAATTAAAAATTATTCATTTAAGAAACAAAGTATGCACATGGGCTAGAGGATACTTGATTTGGTAATAGTATTGTGAAAAAGATCTTGGAATATTGATCAATCACAAGCTGAATATGGATAAATATGATAATGTGATTAGAAAAGAGGCAAATGCACTTTTAAGCTGTGTGAACAGAAATATAAATTCCAAATCATCATCTTGTTTAATGCTGATTAGCCTACAGCTTGGTTGCGTTCAATTTTGGACAACACTGTTTAAGAAGGATTCAGACAACATGAAACAGGTTCAGAGAAGGGCAAACCATATGACAAGAGGATTAAGAAAATACTGCAGTTCTATGGAGAAATATTGAAGGAACTAGGAAGGTTTAGTCTTGAAAGGAAAAGGTACAGAGGAAAAATGATAGAACTTAACAAATACCTGAGCAAATGATACATAGAAAAAAGGAAACATTATTCTTTAGGGCTATAGCATTCTACAATCCTAAAGAATAAAGAGCAGTTTAATAGTGGAACTAATTTTCCAAAGTATGATAAGCTGCATCTTTCTTTTTTAAATATTATTATATCATAAAAATAAAATACAGAACAGTAAAACAAACAAACAAAATGAAACAAAACGAAAGCATATATTCAACCCTAACAACCTCAAAAAAAAGAGGGAAAAGTGATCACTTAAATTTAACATTTAACATGTAGGATCTGCCCTGGCTGTGTGCTGAAAGAAAAGAAAAAGCAGTAAATTCTCCTCTCCTTTTTACACACACACACACACACACACACACACACACACACACACACCATCTGTTGTTATATTTAGCACATAGAAAGTCCACAAAAAGTTTCCAGTCTCTTATCAAACTGCCTGGTCCATTATCTCTTATCAAAGCAGTTAATTGATAAGCTGCACCTTTCTAAAAGGGTTGAGATACAAGTTAGGCAACCATCTGTCTGGAATGCTTCTCCACTGAGCCAAAAGGAGAATCCAGGATGGGTAGTCTCTAGTCTCCTAGCTCGGCTCTCCAAGAAGAAGCATTCAGGTTGGACCAACGCCCCTTTACTTGAGATTCCCTTACTGAGGAATCTAAGAGGCTGGCCTAAGTATCCTTCCCATTGTATAACTTTATAGTTCTGCATAGCTTCAGTGAAACCATTTGGCTTCTGCGTATATTTGGCAGATATATTGACTATTTCATGCAACATTTATTTATTTATTTAGTATGTGGCACATCATACATGAACTAGCAATATAAAATAACAGAATATGTTGCGATGCCTACCGTCCCTGTGCTATTGTTTCTTTTTCTTATATGTATCCATTTCATGTATTCATAACTATGTTTATACTTATACCTGTTATCTTATAATCGCTTGACAAAATAAATAAATAAACTTGCTTAATTCGGGTTTATAGTAAATCCAGTCCCTGAAATCTGTGCAAATCCAATCAACTGTGGTTTATTTGATTAATAATTATTAAACATACTATATGAATGTAGCTATTATGTTCAACAGTAAAACATGTAGATTCAAAAGGACAGTTCTTTCTTAATAGTTTTTTTAAATAAAGAACTTGAAAAAAATAGGTGTCTTCCTATTTTTATATTGTCTCATGTATTTTTCTTTATCTGGGTTTACTTACCAGCTGAAATTCTGAAACCATGCCATAAATTAAGATGATAATATTTTCTAACATGCTTCCGGTATCATGAGTTCAACATGAATATATAGACATGTTGAAAACTACATCTTTGATGTTATTCCTCTATAAATATTATCAAAGGAAGTTTCTACCTGGAATATGAAAATGGAGCCAATAGACATTAGGAAAGAAATTTAGAAAGTTTTGATGTACCCATTACCCTTGCCATATTTTCTATGTGAAAATTCATAGAGAAAAGAGATAATGTCACCACAATCTAACATATCAAAGGAGATCAAGTTTAGAAAGTGTTATTTGGGAAAGACAATGAGAATGAAATAGCCTGCATTTGTGAAAATCAGTATACAAAACACTGTATATACACTTATAAACTAATTTATCTCAATGCAAAACAATTTTTGTACACTAATGATATCTTCTGCTTCTTCAGGATAGTGCAAAATCACAGAAGGGATCTATACCAAACTTTTACAAAACCAGATTTTCAAGTTTGGGAGACTTTTGGAAGTCTTTTACAATAGATGTAGATGATTTCTTCAAATAGTTGAAGACAATGTTGAAAGGAGACTGATATTTATTTCATGAACATTCATTCCATTTTCAACATGAGTTTTAAGCAAGAAATAAGTAGAATCTATTCAACCATGATGACAGCAGCAGAAAATAAATAAATATTTTATGGAAAATTAAACATTTTTCAACATTTCAGGGTTTTTTTTTTAACCAGGAAAATTATATACATTATAATATTCATTCCTTGGAATCATAATACATTTGATGAAAAAGAGTTACAAACAGAAATGGTCCTACAACTAATTTCAGGTTGAATACAAATCTTATCAAAACTTTCAATAGCTACAAATTATTTCTTATTAAGCACCAAAAATATTAAAGGTTACAATTAACTTGAACTACCCAGTTTCTGCAAAATATATTTATATTCATTGAGCAGAAGCTGATTTCCAAAATAATTCTTCATTGTAGATCACATTATTTAATTAAAATAAATAATGAATATGTAATGTTAGCTGAAGCTGAATAAGGAAGGAATGGGACGCTGATAAACAAAATTTCAGAGTAGGCAGGTGATAAATTTGGAATAAAACGTGGCTTCCTCCACTATTTAAATTCACTAGCTTGGGTAACTCTGTCTGAACATAGTCATTTTTTAATGTATCAGTGGTAGAATTGTATTCCCTGTTCCTTCTTCCAAGGAAGATAATGCTCCTCAACCTAGTGCCCTTTCAGATGTACTGGATCTTGCTTTCCACAATCTTTTCTAAGATTTTCTAAGATTATTGTCTAGAAATTATTGGAATTATTATCAGACACACCTGAGGGCAGCAGATAAGCAGAGGCTGGAACAAGAAAAATTGAACTACTTACTGTCACACTTTTGGGATCAAAGGTAGGTTCTTTAGGTGGTTCTGGAGCTGGAGCTGGAGCTGGAGCCGGAGCCGGAGCTGCTTTGGGGGCTTCTTTCTTGGGGTCAGGCTTTTTAGGAGGCATGAGTCTGGATTTCTTGCCAAAGTGCTTGGTTGAAAAATAACCTTAAGGGCTTCAGGGAACAAAGGCAATACTTTCATCCACGGCTTATATATTCAGCTGTGGGTCTCATACATGAGGGGTGGGTAAAGTGCAAAGACAACTGTTTACTATAAAAGGAAAGGACTCCAAAAAAGTAGCGTGTCTCTCAGTCAACAATTGTCCTTTGTCATCCACAAGGGCCTGGCTTGGCTCCATATCTTATGATAGAAAATGCAGGCTGCTTTTGCACACCTGAGCTAGAAAAGCTGTAGAAAACATTTACTGAAATGGAAATGCTTTTTTTAGATGATTATCCCCCAAAAATAATACCGCTCTTTGCTTCTCAACCTGCCTCTATACTCAAGGGGGACAAAGTGTGTCTTTTTATAGGCAAGCCTTACAAGTACAAATGCCACACATCCCTTTCAAGCTCTGGATTTACTTTCTGACACTTTCCCAGTGGAATAGTTAACTGCAAGCTGTTTGATCAACAGGTGTGTGTGTGTGTGTGTGTGTTTCACTAGCTGATCTTGCTGGAGAGCCTTATTTGGCTTTTTCTCTCATTTTATTATCAATCATGTCTTTTGCAATGTTGCCTTTTTCCTAGAAACTCAAATTATTTTAAAAAATTTATTATGTTGCATATTGAATGATGACATCTGGGTTCTTCCATAGTACTAAATTTTGCATTGACTTTTGCTAATCAGGGGGTGCATGCCTAGCCAGCTCTAATTTAATCAACAAAGCATGGCTACATCATTGTAGTTTTTAGCATGGTGGATAAACTGAAACAGGTTTTATAAACCATAAAGGCTAGGTTTGGATATAATGCTAAATCTAAACCAAACAAATCTCATTATGGCTTGACATACTAAATGTCCACTCAGTGTTTCATTCTCATAACTATGCTTTCTCATAGTTAATTTAAACATAATTTGCTCAATTAATCCAATTCTCAGGATCCATATAATATACTATACCAAACCATAAAGTAACAACCTAGACTGTCTGCAACATGTTAGGCCTAAAATGGGTTGTCTACAGCAATTTTTATAAGGGTGACTGCAATTTACAATGGATTTTTCTGCATGCATACATTACTACTGAAATTGTACTGTAAAACGGTACCACATGCACTTTTTTGTTTAGCATCTTATTACATGAGACAGCCTGTGATTTGTTGAATCATCATTTCAGAGATACTTCTTTTCCTAAATAATTAAACAGAAAGATTACAAACAGGCAAAAAGCAGTGGAAGTGACCCCACCATTTGCATTCTTGCCTGTTCCCACTGATCAACTTCTCACAAGTTGAGAAGTGCCCTTCACACAAGTTGAAGCTCTTTTTTGAATCACCAAAAAACAAATTAACCCAACCTCAATAGGGAGAAAAAATGGATAATTGGATAGGGTTTTCTTATTCCCATTTGTCACATTCTACAGAACTATATATCCCTTTTCCTGAAAACTTCAACCTTCTTTTTAGTTTCAATTTTCTAGTTTTGTTTTACCTTTTCTTCTTCTCTTCTTTTTCTTCTTGGCTGAACTACGTGACTCGTTTTTTCTGAAGTTTTCCTGAATCTGAGGATAACTGGAATAACTTCTCCTTCATGAAAGGTCTGAGGCAAGCAGGAAAAAAGGCCTTTCTCTTCCTAATTGTTTCAGCTCCAATTTCCTTTTTCTCAGCTGGGCTGCCTATCTTTTAATTCTTGGGCTTTGGCTCTGATTATTTAGCCAGATCCCTGTTTGCAAAGTCCTCAGGCAGCCATTTTGTCTTTCTTGATACTTCCTGACTGCCCAATGGGAATGCTGGGAGTGAATTGAATGCCCAATGGGAATGCTGGGAGTGAACTGAAAAGAGAGAAAGAAGAAGGGAGTAGTGCTTATGTTATAATCTGCTCTGGAAGTCTGTCCTTCCATGAAGTTCTACAGCTGGCTTTCCTGATGTTGCAACACCTTCAAGCAACTACATAACACACAGCAGTAGGCCCTGAAATAGACCTCACTGTCATGAAAAAACAGACCACTATCTTCCAAGTGCATGTCAAATGCAGCCAGAGCACCTATGCAAAGGCCCCTCTCTGATGTTATTGGTGTAATTTGCATAATGACTGGAAAACAGCTAAAAGTGGCAAAATTATTGAAGTTAGTTGAATCCAGAATGTAAAATATTGAAACACAATTCAGGCAAGTTGCATTATTGCAACCTGCAATATTTAATTTGGGGCTTTGATCATTTTTTTCTTGACAATCTTGAAAGTTATGCTGTATACTGTTATTGCCAGTTCATTGATGTAAACAAACACATATTAGCTTCCAGCAGTGGTTAGTCATTGGTGTATACATTAAACAGCATAGGAGTTTACACACTGCCCTGAAGAAGAGTTTTCCATCAATAGTATTGCTTCTGAAAGTTGACATAAAATCTGTAATATCTATGATAGTAGGCATCCTATAATTTTTGTGAATTTAAAATCCTTCATAAGGTGAAGGACTTTCTTCAACAGGGCTGCCTATCTGATTGTATCATAAGCCATGATAAAATCTATGAACATCATTCCTGTGATTTTCTTCAGTTCAAAACCATCCTCTATGTATTGTGTTAGATTGAGAATTTGAGCTGCAAAGTTTTTGCCAGCTCTGAGGCCAACTTGTGTGGTATAAGCAGGAACTCTACTATTGTAACTTTAACGTACCAGAGGATTAAAAATTCAAATACCTTATATATAATATCTGATAAATGATACGGGCCATTGCTTTTTTAATCCTCTGATGGCTTGTCTGGTTTAAGTATGATTATCACTCCGTATCTTGGGTATCTGAACAATATTCCTCCATATCTTGGGTATCTGAACAATATGTAAACATATGTTTTAAAGGCTGAGAAAGCTTTTTTGTTTTGTTTTAGGTCAAAAATCTTTAATCTGTTCAACCTGAAACTCATCAATACCAACTGCTTTGTCATTCTTATACTTGTCTATTGCCTCTTCCAACTCTCCTATAGTAAAGAGCATTGTCAGTTTGCTTGTCTTCCATTCTTTGTTCTTGACTATCCTTTGTTTATGTTTTTGTAGTGTGAAATCTGGTTTTCACAATTTATAGTAAGCCAGCAGCAGTAATCTCAATTAGAATAAGCTGATGTTGGGTTTTGAATTGGCATTCCTATAGACTTTAAGCATTAATGCTCTGTATTCTCACTTAGGAAAATACCATTGGGGTATAGCCTCTCCTCCATCAGCTACTCTTAAAGGACACTAGTAGTTTGGTGTCATGGATAAGTGATAGTTGGTCAGATTCCATCCATTCTACTATGGCCTCTCTGCTTTCATTGTTATCTTCATAGCCCCACAGATTATTATGGCAGTTGAAGTCACCTATTATAAACTTAGCTGGTTTGTTACAGAAGTGTGGTGGTTCAGCAAAAAAATTTTTTATATATGGTGGTTTATAAACAGATGTCACTGTGCAATCACTAAGCTCAACTATTAATATTTCTATATTAATTTCTTCCATCACTGCCATAGACAAGATATGGAGATTGATTCTAGCAAAATCTGTGCTTCCATATTGCTGGTGACATTTTCAATTATTAATTGCATTCCAGGATTGCTGGTTTTCCTCCCTATGAGTTTCTTATAAACACAAGAGGTCACATTTATGTTTCTCACAAATTTATTGGAGCAGGAGTTCTTTGACCAAGGTTATTCTTTTTATATTAACTGTGATCAGTGTCAATTTGGGCCCTGAGAAGGAAGGGCCATTTTTTGTGGTTGCTTTTCTTCACAGTCACAGTTATCTCTGACTGAAGATGCTTCTGTGTTGAAAGGATTTGCCAGTAATAACATTATTAACCAGGGGACACTCAATTTCCAAAAGTAATGCAATCTTCGGGGAGGCCCCTTTCATGACCACCATTGGTGGGGATAAGGAACCACTAAAAATATCCTATCACTGATTTATGTGAAGGGTATAACTGTCTTGCCTTCATGTACATCTCCCTATTGATGTAGAGAACATGTGAAGTACGTCTTTATGAGAGAGCATATAATAGGGTAGGATGAACATGTTGTAACTTTAACGTACCAGGGAGGAAAGCTCCTATTACTGAACAGGATTAAGCTTTTATTTTAATATAAATAACAGATGTACTTCCAATAGTTTCTGAATCTTCAGCACAGGAAGACAGGAGTTAAAAACTATTTCTTGGCAGGATCCCTTGCCTTCTATGCCTGCTATTTGCCATGAACAATACTTCCTCTTGTTTGAATCTAAAAAGAACATACGTTACAACCCCATGATCCCTTATTATTGCTGTAGAGAAAATGCTGTTTGTGAATCAATCCTGAGCTCTATTTCCAACCCTGCTTCCATGTCTACCCTTTTTTAGATTTGCTCTTCCTTCTCAGCTGTCCTTTTTAGCCAGCCAAATTTATCATAACACAACCTGAAGTGGGAAGAGCTGAACATCAGTCTAGGAGATATTTTGATTTTGCAGCCTCTCAGGGGGATGGTCAGGTTTCTTAAGCAGGTGCTGTGTAGCAAGTACTCTGGGATATGTGCAAACTTCAAAGCTCTTGGGGAGGTGGAGTGGAGATAGATGGGATGAGCAGCTGCTGAAATTGCTGAGTTTGTGTAAAGTTTCCAGATTCTCTCTCCTGCTTTTCTTAAATACTTCTGTTGAAAGGCTGGAAAATGTCTTTCTTCTGAGGATTCGATTTTCCTGCTGGGAGGGCTCCGGTGCAAGGATACAGACAACTGCTTGAAAGCTGGTTCTTTTCATTTTTCAGGAAGGAGAGAGATAGCAAGAAGTCTGCGTTCCTGGGCTAGCTAGCTTTGTATAATAAACCCCTGATTTTTATACTTTTTTTCTCCTTTTGTGTGTGAGTGCTTGTGTTTGTATTTCTTAATGTTTTAAATCCTGTCAGGGGTTGTCTTCATTTCCCCCAGAGGGTAAACTCCGTGGGGTGGTTTGATTGGATTATCAGTTTCGTCCTAATGTGTTCTTATATTTGTTTTGTGGCAATCTTCTGTCTGTCTCCTTTGCAATATATTTTGTGTCCTTTGTTTTGCTGATTTGGAAGGGTTTTCTTTCCTTGTTTCCCCAGTTTTCTTAATTATTTGGACTTTTGTCTAAGGGGCTTCTTTAATACCTTTTATCTGA